ACATTTTGCAAATGCATTTCAAATTTTGCATAAACCTAGAAAAAATTGTGAATGTTTTTCTTTCATGATGATCATACTTTTTGTTGTAGGTGGTGATGGAGACATAAATGTCAAATATGCTTCTTGATAAAAAGTAGTCGTAAAATATAGATTTTCTTCTTTCACTTCTACCTGTGGAAAAAAGTGAGAGGCTATTTTTACCCGGAATCTTTTTTCATTAAAAAAACAATTTTTTATATGAAATTTAGATACAAAACTGTAGATAGAATAAAGGATTTAAATGACAGAGAATAATGCAATCAGTCACAGGGTCCACATAATCTCTCAGTCAGTAGTTTGAACTTTATTTTTACAGCAAACTTTATACATTGCATCTTTTTAAAATATTTTATTCATGGAAGTTACTAGTACTCCAACATTTACGGTAAATGGTGTACATGTAAGTGATCCATCGTGGACATTGGATAACTGGAAATCGGTTATTAATCTTCTTAATTTGCAATGTCGATCAGGTCAAACGTTGTGTAATTTTGCTCACAATATGAATCAATGTTGTTTACTTAAAGACATTTGCATTCAAAATGTTGGATGTATAAGATAAATATAAGAAAATTTTATAAAGAAAACTCGCTTCGAACGTAAATGCTAACATTTAGAACTTGAAATTTTATTTAGAGTAAACAACAACATCTTTGCCGTGTCTTATGGTTCATAAATGTTGAAATTATCGGTTCAGAAAAAGAAAAATCGCCGTATACTGTATTATCGTAGATGGTTTGGTTTTAAAATAAATTCTTCATCTTAGTATTCTATTAGAATTCATCATTTGCATTGATTGCATGTCAGGTAGTTCTTATTGAAGTATCTGCTCCTGTTGGTATCGTCGATTAGAGGAGAACGCGCAACGATAGCTGCGAGAGAATGTCAACTCTTGTCTAGTGATGCGATGGAATTCGATATTTTTTCGAGAAAGAGCGGTTACCAAACACCCGATTATTCATTCATTTTCTTTTCTAAATTTGAAAAGTGAAATATGTTCAGTCCGTTCCAATTAATGTGAACGGTAATAAGCTGTTTTTAGTGACAGTAATAGACGTCAGATATGTGTTTGTTATTACATTAGTAAATAATAGACTGCCGTTTCAACATTGTCACATCGTCAGCCCCCGTCGTAAACGTAGATGCCTTTGGGATGCACATCATTATACTTGTAGTATGCGTCTTGAGTTTTGATTGTTGCTGTAATACGATAATCTTGTCCACCGATATACGCACACATTTTGTAGCTAAAATGCCGAGCACAAGCAGATATGCTATGGCAGTGTGATGAGGAGTATCGATCTTACATGTCTTGTCCAACCATAAGTGTATCCGGCAAATCTTGAATTTTCGTGCCACCGACTTTGGTACTCACTGTAATTATGGGTGGTCTTTCTTTAAAGCGATTAATAAGTCGTTTTCGGCAACTGCTACAACACCAAAAAGGTCTGGTAAAGAAATACTAGTGAGTCAGAACAAGATGTTTGTGGAATTAATGCTAAACTCGTACCTGATTCATTAGTGACAGGATCACGCAATGGAAAACAATCATTCAAGTAGACATCACCATTGTAGTGGAGAGGCTTCACCCACTGGAAAAAAATTTACGAATTCCTGCGTATTAACGCAGGAATCTGAAAAAATTCTGTGAATGTTGGATATATACTGCAGGTTTTATACTGCAGGTTTCCGACCTGTCATCACTTGTAATACACAAGATATCTGACTACGCAAATCCTGCAACGTCTGCAGGATTTTCGCGTGATGATAAAAAGTAATAGCTTGCCGATTTTGTCCCGCATGACTGTGCTGCAGCATCCTGCAATCTTTTCTCACCAATGTCTCTCCAGGGTGACTGTGGTGGAACTTGTCTGTATTTTTTATTTTTTAAAAGTTAAGTACTTTTTTCTTATAAAGTTGCAAAAGCTTTTCTCGTGTCGAATATACTTCCAGAAAATGTGTACCTTAATACTTTTAACCATAATTTATCAATGTTTTTACCGAAGTTTTTAAGTATGTACCCTTCAACAGAGTATTCAAAGCTGAAGAAATTAGAATAGTTTGATATCTCCGCTTTGCTATACATCTTTTTGTCACAATAGTGAGATCATTCTAATGACTTTAATTACATATCGATGGAAGAAAATAGAATACTCCTGACATAAGAAAGATCTTTTCAGCTATCTATTAATAGTTTGATTTTGTACACATGAAAATACGTGTTAGAATTAAAGTATTAAGGTATACATTTTCTAGAAGGTTATCAGACACGAGAAAAGTTTTTGCAACTTTATAACAAAAAAGTACTTAACTTTCCAAAAATAAAAAATACAGACAAGTCCCTTCACGGTCACCCCCGACAGACATTGGTGAGAAAAGATTCCTGGATACCGCAGGATAGACATGGAGAACAAAATCCTTTTTCTTTCAGTCAACAAAATCCTGCCAGATCTCATAGGAAAAAACTTGTGGATTGAATAAGTCAAAGAGTCTTTTTCTCAAATCGGAAAAACAACTTTTTGACTTGAGTCAGTTGGAACTGAAGAAAACAGCATTCTTTAAATCGAGTTTTTGAGGAATTTGAAAAAACTGTTTGTCCCTCAGAATTTGATTAAAGACAATTGCTCTGCTCATGTTTTCGTTCCAACATGCTTTATTGTTTGTTCAAGACCAAAATTTGGTTCAGAACGTTTTCGTCTCGAAAAGTGAAAGGATAAATTTTTTCTTGATAGTTTATTCTGGAACAATGAAAATTTTCCTGTTTAAACAGTCTCATGTTCTGTTTTGAACACTCAGTCATCCGCTCTACAGACGGAAAATTAAAAGGTTTTATTGAAAGTTCAAAAATGGTAAAAACCGGACGATGTGAAAAAATTGATTTCCGAAACAAACGGCAATGATGAGGAATGAAACTTTTTTTAAAAACCATGCCTCAAAATATCGTCTATAAACCTGCAAAAAAAAGATCAAATAAAGGCCTTCCTTTTTAGCTTCTGTCGAAAGCGAATGAATTCTGTAGAATACCGAAATTAACTGGTGAGTTGAATAACTCCTACCTAATGAAATATTCTGTTGCATTCTTCTGAATGATCCAGATTAGACATGGGCGGGATCGGGACCAGAAAATTTTTTTACCGGGACCGACACTAGAATTAAGGTTTTTTTACAGTTGCGAAAAATCAGCTACAACCTGACCTGTTCTCCATACTTAAACAGAAACGTTGTAAAAAATCGTTAGGAAGTCTTACAGTTCGATCTTATGTAACTAGCAGAGCTCTGTATGACTCAAAATTCTGAGTCGAGTCCAGTCCAGTCCATGGATTGAAAACTCTAGTCCACTCCATAGTCCAAAATCCATAGTCTTGAAAGCTTGAGTCCAGTCCAGTTCGAGTCCATAAACTCAAAAAATTCCCAGTTCAGCCCATATTCTTTCGACCGTTGCGTGAAATCAGCTAAAACTTGACCTGTTCTCCATACTCAAATAGAAACGTTGTAGAAAATCGTCAGGAAGTCTTACAGTTCGATCTTATGTAACTAGGCATGCACCGGTTATTTTGCTTATATGATCAGAAGAACAAGCATATCTCATCCATTAAGGGACAAATAACAAGTAACTTTCGATTAGAAAACTCCTGAACTTTCCGACATTAATAGAGTATTTTATCCGTGTGAGCAGAATTACTTTAAGGTAGCTGGCTTTTCGAAAAAGTTTTACTTTCCGATTAAAAAGCAAATCGAAAATTACTTTTATTATATAGGAAAATAGAGCAAACATTTCTGACCAAAAATGAGATATTTCGTGGTTTCCAGATTTCTAGGTAACGAAACATCGCAGAGAGCTCGGAAAGGTCTTAACTTGAAGCTGATATATGTGGCTAGAGGCTGACGGAGCCCGATTTTTGATATTCTGTCTATGATTAGAAAAACATCTTTACCAAAGTTAATAAGACTTTTTCGAATTTTGGACTTTTGACGCTGACCATTAATTTGAAAAGTAAAATATCAAAAATCAGGCTCTAGTCACATATGCTTTCGTCAATCTGAGACTAGCTCGAGTTCTCCACAACGTTTCGTTACTAACTACGAACAGCTCCATTTTGATCACTGTTGTGGCGACATCTCACAAACCATGCGCGATGGAACCAAACAAACACTATACTTTCACAAGATCAGCATCTCCTAAAAGTTTGGTCAAGATCGGATTTATAGTTTCAGATAGGCTTCTGACGGTGGTGGGTGAAAGCTTTAAAAGCTGGGACCAGAATCATAAAAATCTTCCTGGACCCGGACGCGATCGAAACAACTTTATTTAACCGGGACAGAAAAACCTTAATTCCGCCCCTATCTAGTCCAAATGGAAAAAGAACAGAAAATATTTCGATTTATTTATTAAAAATTAATTAACATCAATACTAATCGCAAAATAGTGTAATAAAATCATGTTATAAAATGTTTCAAAAAATTAGATACAGAAACGTACAACGAGAAGTTTGAGCATTATATTTTAGAAAATGAAAACGTCTGTCAAAAAACTAATTTTTATTAAAGAAAACTTGTTCAGATCAAAATCGTTTGCTCGAAGTAGTAAAGTGGAAAAATTTTCTTATGTCTTTATTTTCGTTTTTGTGAACATTTACTGAATATTTTTTCCAATATCGAGTGACAGTGGACACGATTGAATCCTCTCCCTGAAAGTTGAATCTAAATGATTAACTACCATCAGAATAGCAGGAAAAAACATCATTTTAGCAAGTTTCTCAATATCATCTGCATTATGATTATTAGTAGAGCTACAATCAGATACACGTTTCCCGTCATCTCTTTAAGAATTTTTAAAGGAGTCCTGTTTCTTGTCAAAAAAGTAAATTTTGGTAAAAATATCGATTATGACAAAAACACATGGTAAGATATAGCAAAATTTTCTGTTTTTAATGGCCTACTTTTGATCTCCACAAGCTTCTTTCACAACAGAATTGTATGAAGAAATGTTTTGCGAATTATACTTATAAGTTTTACTCCGAAATTTGAGTATGACTTTTAGTTTCGACAGGAGATGCAACAGTACGAGTTTAATTACAGATTCAGACTCGGTTCTTTCTATTTTCGTGGCCACAAACTTCCAAACCATCTCTCGCTCAAACTAAAAGTCATACGCAAACTTCAGAGACATCTTATAAGATTCACAAAACATTTCTCTATAAAATTCTGTTATAGAAGAAGCTTATGCCTCTTTTGAACTCTTTCTAACTACAAACTTTTTTTAATGAGACCACATCATTAACAGGTACCTGTTGTATAACTCTACTCAAACAGAATATGTTTTCTTAGATTTAACCTTAAACTTTTTTGTCATTGAAAGTGAAACATCTGTCTGTGATCAAAGTTCATCCTATATAATCGTTTACACCTTAATAGAAATTTAGAAAATGAGTTCTGAATATCTTCTGAACTTAATCTTGTTACAATACTCGTTTCGAAAGAAACAACTTAATAAATACCTCATATTAACACTTTAATATTTAGCGGTGTTCAGATATTATCCTAGTACAGAATTATAAATCGAAAATCGTATAAGAACTCAATAGTAGCTTACGAATATCCGTTGCAGGACCCTATGGTTGAGATGTATTATCTAAAAATACATTTTTTAAAAATATAAATAATTCCAAAACCTAATGCATGCTTCTTATGTAAATAACATAACAGATTTCATCAATGGAACTAACTTTTGATCAATACTGGCATCATTTACGAAGTGTCGCATATCTATTGCCAAAATTTGAAAATTCAACACTCTTCGTGATAATTTTGTAAATAAATTTATCGTTTTAATATAGCCATACTGATTTAAACAATATCGCCATAAAAGGTCCGTAAATATATTTTGTGTTTTATAAGCGCTTAATGGATCATTTAAAATTGGTTCACGCATAGATTCATAAGCGCAAAAGCCTTTTGAACATATTACTAATATAATTAATATTTTAACAATAATACGATCGTATTCGACAATTTGAATTACATCTTTCATTACGGTAATTGTTCGTTGATAAAATTCTAAGTTCATGTTTGATATAAAATCTTTTGCGTCAAATACACCATCGTCTGTATTCTCTTCATGAAATGTATCATTCAATGGATCGTATATTAGAACACCATGTACAAATATTGCTCCTAACATATTGTATTTGATTAGTGTCACTTTGTCGTCTTCATTTAAATCGTGAAATTCACGAATTTGTTTACAATAGGCTATAAGTCGAAGTGACGCAATGTTTGTTGGCACATTAATAAGCAAGTCGGTGGTTGCTATTTTTTGCATGAAAGGATAATGAATTTTACCTACTACAGAATTTAAACTAACCGCATTACAATAAGCTGTTTGAATTTCATTCAATTTATTCCAATCGGATGATGTTAGAATGGCACTGACGGAAGATTGTGATAAAGAATTTGGATCAGAAGATTGTTCATCAGACGACTGAAAAAGACGGACTATTGCAGTTTCAGCTGTAAATTATTTAAAAGAGAAAGAACTCTGCTATATTTTGAATAAAACTGCTGATAGAAGACAGTTACGATTTTCGTTAATCGATCAGACTCTGGTGTATCTTTTTTGTAAGAAAAAATAATTTAATAGCTTTTTTCGAAAGTCAAAATATAGTGTGGGTGATTGCGACATGAATAACTCGAGAACGGAATGAGCTATGGAGATCGAATTTTCGCCATCGTGTAGCCAAGACCGGGGCACGTAATAATATGCAGAAATCAAAATTTTTGCGTGGATCTCTGGAAAACAAGCTTATAGCTCCAAAGTTTTACATAGAAATCTATCAGTTTTTTCTCATATATGGATAGTCCAAGATGTCCCCTACAAAACCAGATCCAATCTCGAAAATCTATGGTTCGGGAGCTATGGGCGTGTTTCTTCAAGCCTTAGGACTCCTCTGCTGTTAAGTTTGGAACTATCAGAAACGAATGAAAACATAGGTTATCGACTATGCTGAATCTGGTGGCAACATTTGTTTTTCAAAACAGTTCCAGAAACCTAGTGAAAACGTACATTAGGTGAAATATTCCATTGTTGCCTGTTTTCTAGTAAAATTCAAAAATTCATAACTCAGTCAAGATCAATCCAAGTTACGTCAGAATATCAAGATGTACTCTATTTTATCTGCTCCATACTATGCAGTTCAACAGAAGCTTTGAAAATACGCTGGTTTCTGAAAGGGTTTTCCAGAAATCTTCCGAAGTACAACAATGTTTTTTACTATTTTCAAGTAAAAATACCGTTTGAAGCAGATAAAATAGAGTAAATCTTGATATTCTGACGTAACTTGGATTGATCTTGACCGAGTTATGAATTTTTGAATTTTACTGGAAAATAGGCAAGAATGGAATTAAACTATCAATTGCTTAACTGACCTAGACCGTATGAGTGATATTAATACTCGATCTCTTCCACATACTCATACTATAACAACCGGTCTATTATCCACTTCCCATGAAACGTCCGATACTATCGACTTTTTTTCCTGAAAAAAAGCTCTTCTGTACTGGAATAAAAATTGCTAGATTTTATGATAACTATTTCGTCATTCTAACATGGTCAGAAAAAAACTATTAAAATTCATTTGAAAATCTAAAATCCATTGAATTTTATCCATTTTTTTTCTCAGCATTATCATTTTTTTTAATTTTATTTCTATATAATACCTGTAATACAACTTTTTCTTTCTTTCATATTTTCATGTCAAAGGTCATGTTTCTAAGGTCATGTTAAAACAATTTTAATACCACACTCAAATTAACTTTTACTCATTTTGGGTATAATTATAGGTTTTTCGTATATCACAGGTCTCCCATAATACACTGAACTAATCAGACGGACTCTTTACTGCTGTAAATGGTCAAGCTGATGTAACTATGAAATGAATGAAACTATGCAATGAAAACTTATAGAAAAATAATATATTTTTTTCTCACCTGCATCACTTCACGAATATTTAATTGATAATTATCCGATAATTGTCTCAGTCGACGATTTTCTTCAATTTTTCGTTTTTTTCTTTGCTTTTCTTCATTGGTCAAGATCCATTCCTTGCGCATTCCTACATACAAACGTAAACATGACACAATATATAAATGCTTAAGTCGATTTAATTTTTTAAGGTTAAATTAGTTTTAAGATGTCAATTAGTAGCATATTTTTTTTTCTCATAACGTCTCATTTGAGATACAATCCATATTTTAACAAAGTATCTCAGTTGAGAAACCAATATTTCTGCGAAAATATTCGTTTCTCAATCGAGATACAATTTTGACACTTGCGTTCAAACCGGAGTTAATAGATATTTACCCAATTTAAAACATTTTTGTAATCGACAACGTTTGCATCGTTTTCTCTTCTCTAGATTTATTACACAATGACCATTTGAATGACATTTTAGACGATCCTGAAAAAAACATTGTAAAATAGTTTCTACATTATTAACAAAAAGTTATGTTCTACCATTGATTTTAATGCATTACGACGGAAAAAGGCTTTGCATGATTCACATGTTATCCTACAATATACATCACCTTGAATAAAGTTAATAATACTTTAAGTCATTCATTATACATACGCATCAAAATTATATCCATGTGCATTGCTGCCACATACCACACATGATAAAACCAGTTTTCGTTTAGCAGTTAAATTATCATCGCATGTAGGAAAAGAATTAAATTCAGAAATTTCTAACATTAAAAAAACGTCAATACAAATCAAATAAAAACTTTTTTATATCTTAAAATAAAAATATAAACATTTGAAACATCAGCTAATGCTATCGTATATTTTGTAAACGTTTTTACATTATACACTTGAAATACTCAAAACTGTATGATTAAACTCGTCGTATGATAGTCTCGTCTAATGAATCATAGCGGTCTCCCTCAAAAAACTGAATCGTTGATTTTCATCCGAAGAACTTTCTAGGAAAGTACATAGATAATTAACTTTCTCATCTGACAGACAAACGAATGTTGAAGTAATGACTATTAGAATAATAGCCATGGAATCAGCAAATATTCGTCTTTCGTTGACTCCCAGATGAAAAAAAGTAACTTCGCTCACTATTTATTTGATAATTAAAGAAATAGCTTTGAAAAAGTCAGGAATATAGTAGACGTTTTTTAAAGGGTTATGTTAATTTATTTCTTGATTCTTCTATTGATTTATTTCTAATAAAAAAAACATATAAAAGTTAGATATCATAGAAAAACATCCGTAATTTATTTTTAAACAGTTGTAAAACTACATGAATGTTCTCAGTGGAATCTTCTTTATTTTATTTTTTAAATAGAACAGAAGAGAACAGAAAAGAAAGAAAGAACAGAAAGTCAATTTTTTTTCCTCTTCTAGTAACTGAAAGTTAAGTAGAAAAGTGTATTAACAATGTAATTTAATTGTAATAAAGTGTTTATTTAAATACTGTCTTATCTCTACTTACAATGATTCATTATTATTTTATTTTTATCATATGTTGAGTACACACGTACAAATGATACTAATATATCACAAAAATGATGTTAAAATTTTATCAAATCGTGAAATATCTGTCTAGAATTGAATAACTATTTATTTTATTATTATATTCCTTCGAAATTCACAAAAACGTAGTCTTCATATTTTCTTATTCTAAAAATAAACACCCCTTTAACGCTTTACGGCTTCATGTTTCGAACACATATCGAATAGAGAAGAGATGAATGTGAATAAAAGTAGCATGTCATAACTGGTAAAAAAATATTTTTCATACAGAATAAAATTGTTGATGATGCATTAGTTATCTCGTCTTTTTTTTTTTCGCTTGTTTGCTATAAAAACGTGCTTGGCAATATACAATAACGACGAAAATACTTTTTATTACAAAAAAAACATTTTGATCCTGTTGCTTCTTAGACGCGTCTTACCAATATAAAAAAGAAAAGAAAATGCTTTCTGTTCTTGACAAACAGAAAATATTTTTATCGAAGTGATGTGTCGACACATTGAATGTATTTCTTGCCTTTCAAGCACACATGCATACCTTTTCTGTTCTTTCATTTCTTCTATAACATCATGGTAGTAGATATTATCAAAGCGAGTCATTTCTTTCATTAACGACGGAACCATTAAGTTAGACGATGCACAGATTTTCGAATTATAAAAAAGCATGAGGACGAGATACTAAGAGGCCTTCGCAACTTGACGAATATATTTATTTGTATTTTTCATATAATCATTGTATCGTGTCTGTCGTTGACTCTTCTCTGTTTGATGCAAGCGTATGTTTCATCGATAACATTGTTATTATTAAAGGGCAACAATAGAAATAAAAACTTTAGTGCAAATGCGGCTGAAATACCCTTAACTTGGTTTAACATGATTAAGAGTAGTTTATTGTTCTTAATAAACTCTTAATCATGTTAAACTAAGTTAAGAGTTTTTCAGTCGCAATTGCACTAAAGTTTTTACGTCTATTCCATGAAGTACAGAAAAACGAGGGTTTAATCTCGATTTGTCCTAATTACTCACATTCACTTATGATTCCGATATGTTAGAGTAAAGAAAAGTGGACAATTCTATGCTTAAATACTGGAAGAATATTTCGATATTTACCTTCAGTATTAATTTAATTAGAATTAGTTAAACATGCATCATTCTCAATTTAGCCTTGTTTTCTTAGATGTCTTATAGGGTGTCCAGTTTGTCTGATCAGATATCTGTAAGTAAGAAACTCTTTGCCTGTTTTTCTCTTGATGAGTGGAAGAAATCAAGACTGCGAGCTTGGAGAATGGGAATTACTCTGAAATTTTTCGAAGAATTAGTGGCCGCTGCATACTATGTGATGTAGCAAAACAAAACGGTGATTTATTTAAAAAATCTAGCTCTGGTCTTCAAACCTGACCAGTGCCTGTTTCTCCGAAAATACCAAGATTAGGCAAAAAGTCAAGACGAGATCAAGATTTACTATTTGTCTGATCAGAAGACGAAATAGATCATCTTGATTCGATTTTATCACTTTCTTGTTCTGATCTTGAAGCCGACCAGAACAAGAAAAAAAATAGGCAACAGACACCTGTAAGTAAATAGGTGTTTACTCTATTTTCAAGACCAGACATACTGGACATTCTCTAAGCTGCACTGTAAAAAGTAAAGTGTGCCCGGGGTATACTAAACTTGGACTTTTTTTGCACACTGAAATCATATAAAACACGTCGCCATGTCTTACGAAGGCATCTGAATTCCACTTTTATGCGTCCATAGTGTCTTCGTGAAACATCGTGGACGCTTAGTCAAGGCACCTTCGATGTATTCTCCCATGTAAATCAGATGCATTTTTGATACATAAAGTAAGATATTCAATGCATCAAATACGCCGAAATGCCTTACTAAAACGGACGACTGAAACATATAAAAACGAGATGAATAAGTCTACCTAACATGGACAAATAGAGTAGAAAGATGTTAGTTTTTCTTCTTGGAGGAAACAAAGACTCACCTGTTTGTTAGTTATAGGATTTTTAACATCCAAATAGATCTAAGTATACGGATGAGGATAGCCAATGGACAAACTGCCGTTTTTACCAAATGAGTTCTTTCAAAACCATATTTCAGTACATCATAGGACCAAAATGCGAAATTAGATTTCCGGCTAATTTTACACAACATACAGAGCCAAACCAAAAGCTCTTCGTTTTGGTTCAATTGAGACACAGACTCTATACAGATCTGAATTTCATAAAGTACAATACACTAAACGAACGCAATTAAGTATCGAAGAAGAACTCAGAATGGATAAGCAAGAAGAGAAGCCTGAATTTTGGATGAAATAACTGGGTTCACTAGAATCTATAAGACAATGGAGAAGGAAGAGACGAGCACATATATATATTTGGTTCACTACTGATATAATATATCAGTAGTGAATCAAATATATTCTTTTTCTTATTTTAACTTGAATGATAACTACTTATTCAGAATAAGTGCACAGAGAGCGAGTTGATATGAATAGAATTACGTGTACTTATTTTGAGCTCTCACTCACTCTAACTAATTTTGAGATATATTGCATCATGTTCCCGAAGAGAGAACCGGGTAAAACATGGTGAAATCAGAATCATAACTGTCATAAGAAAATTCATTCAAGATGAGTTTGCTTGCCCATAGAATTTGTGTTTTTAGTGTTCTTGTGGCCAGAAATGAGCTTTCAAGAGATGAAAAAATAAGATTTCTACCTTTCTTAAGGCCAAGACCTTGACAAAGAAGTATAAAAGAAGTTTTTCGCAGGATTTTTTCTTGTCATTAGCGAATCTTTATGGCGAGACTTGATTGCATTATGTTCTCGAAGAAAAGTCCGAGTAAAACATGATGTTATCAGGGCTGAAAGGGGATATTCGAACAGAAACTGAACGACGAACTTCATCACTTTTAATTCAGTTCTTTACTAGATATAACCCTGAATGAGCACCATTTTTTGTTCCAAGAGTTTATGCTAATTCTGATTTTCAGTATCATCTTTTTAAAGCTCGCAGATACTGGTTTTCTCATAGGAGACAGACTACGCTGAATATCAGCCTAGTACTGACTAAGGTAGCTAGCAGTGAATGAATGAAAGAACGCCGAAAATCATTTTCCAATTCAGGACATTTATTTCGACACAATTAAGTTTATTCTTCATTGAAGAAGACCATGAAAACATGTGCTCTTTTCAGAAAAAGACACAAGCATGGTTCGATTCGCCATAGTCTTTTGAGTATGTTCATTCTAACCCTTGTACCTCAGTTGGTATAAGTGACAACTCAAATAGTTTTACATAGATCGGTAGTTCTGATTGTCAGCTACGACGCTATCTCAAAAGTTTTACTTAATTTTAGAAACTAACTTTGAAAAACACGAAATACGCAACCTAATAAGATTAGTGTCGAAATTAGGGCATGTGTATACAGTGATATCACATTATAGTCAATACCTTTATATTTTGTTGTGTATATACTTGCATATATACGAAAAGACAACGAATTTCTTATAGTCTATATATTTGATATGTCTGCCTTGTAAGAACAAACACGTAGGTAAAGTCAGCACCAGATTCGAATATTTTCGCCCCAGATTCATTTCTGAACTTGGCCCAACCTGGAAATGACTTGGTCCAATTACAGCTCAACAAGCTCTACAAAACCCTGTACTTCCTTTCTCAAAACAAACAGTGGTTTATGAGAAAAACTTAAAAAACTGGTTTTTATAACAAGAAAAATTACGGTTTTTCAGTAAACAATTCACAGATTCATTCAAAGACTTGGTCCAAAGCTAAATTGCACATCGTTCGATAGAGCTCATCGAGACGCATCCAGAAGTGTCCTCTGATGACCTTCAACTCAAGAAAAACATTAGAAATTGTTTCAAATATTCTCTTTCTTTATGATGGTTTGTCGAAAATGAGCTATTTTTCTCAGATGTTTTGTGATGAATGGGAATATTCTTGGATGTAGGTAAATGCGTCTTGCTCAGAAATTTGATATAGTATGTAGCAGAACTCCTGCCGATCCACTCGACTCGATGACGCGAACCGGGACCGACCCATCTCGGGCCAGGTCGGATCGAACCAGTCGCTCTTTTTTCTCGAGCCGTGCGGGCCTGCGAGAAAAGTTTTTAGTTCGGCCGGATCAGTGTTTTTTAGGGTCCGGCACGGCCTGAGAAATTTTAAAAGTTTTCTTCATATCATTAGAAAATTAGGCTCAAGCTCCGCGCTGAACCAAATGAGGCCAAACGTGGGTTTTAGATGTAGAATTTTACGGCGAATCCGACAGCGGGCTTCTAATAATTACATCTTGAACTTTTGACAGAGCGCCACAGTAGCTGTGATTTTCATTAACAAATTTTAACTTCTTTTTCTGCTCTGTTGATCTTTTTCTTTTCTGCTTGCCATTGCTTTTTATTTTCCTCTCTATAGACATAAAGTTTAAGGCCATACTGCTCGCTATATACATCTAGATTTTGATTGGCGCATGCACATTCAATCAGCAAAAAATTGGCATTTCTCCTATATTTCGACTGATAAAGTAAATTTGGTTTAAAAAGATAAAATATATATACACACACGTTTTTTCTTCAAATTCAGCTCGCATATTGGAGATAAATTTCGACTTTTTCGATCTTGAATTCTTCTCGAAATTTGAAAGATGAATGAATAATTATGAACATTCGCACTATCACCTCTCTTTCGATCAGTCTTCATTCCAAGCTCTCTCTCACCTGAACCTCACGACAAAAATAATGAAATTTTGCTTTAGATTGATTTACTAGATATAATTTTAGGACGGTCGCTTTTATCCAGTTATTGTATTGAAGTTGGAGCGAAAAACAGTTTTTTACATCATGAGTTCTCGTTTATAGCAAGGATTGTTTTCTAATTTGAAGTGCATTAGACAAGGGAGATCAACACTGTTTTCGCAGCTAGTTTCAAATATTTTCGTTTCACAACTTTGTCAATTTTTTTATGAAAAAACGTTTTCTACTTTACTAATTTCGCGATAGGAATTCTTTCGAATCCGACCTTCTTAATCGATAGTCCCCTTCTCAGAACAAGAGATCATCCCCTATCAGAATATCTCTGGTGACAATGTTTGTCGAGGTCTCCTCCACGATTAGCGACTCAAAACGATTTGAGTTGGTCGCTAGAATAGAAGAACATGAGGGTCTTGGCTCCTAGAGTTTAATCAGAATAACATAACTTTTTCGCCTGTACTTCATACTACAGTACAACTCGTGAAGGCCTGGCAGACTAAAACCCAATTGCATATCAGTGAACCTTAGATAAGTTTTTCCTTCTCTTTTATACTTGATGCTCATTTTGACTTTTATGAATTATTCAAAATATTTTTGTAACAGAACTCACACCGTGAGTTAGCGGTTATTAAAAAAATACAGAAATCAAATATAGGTTATCGAAGTAAAGAAGAAATACAAAAAACGAATTTTATACATTTTCTTCCAAAGAAAAAAGGTTTATCTGGGCAACAGGAGAAAAAGAATGTTTAGAACGACAACAATAAGAACGAAAAAAAGATCTTTTAAAACAACAACAATAAAATGATAATCCGAGAAAAAAAATAAGGGAAACACCGGAGAAAACAAACATTAGAATATACGATTTAGATAAAGAAAAACTTGAATGATGAATAATTAATGTATTATTTGTCACATTATGCATGTTACTATAGCTTTCATCAGATAAAGAGAAAGAAGAAAAAACACATGGTGAAAAAAAAGCAAAAAGAACAGCTTTTTCAAAAACAGTATTATATACATTATATATGAATTTAAAAGAAAAAAGAGAAGAAGGATTAGAATATTTTAATTTATGTACACATTGATTTAACTTATCATTTGAATAAAAAAGAGATAAAAACGATACGTTACATACTGTTTTGATTGTTTTAAATAATAAAATTTTAAATGTTTCATTTATTGTTTGTTTATAAACATCTTCAACTTGAAATAATTCCCGTATAACCTTTCTTTCATCGGATGTGACGTTAACAATAAAAAATGATACCAAATCACTACCAATAGTGGCACAATCGTTAATTGTTTTACAATGATCTTCATCTGAATCCCCACAACATGCAAATATCGATGAATGATAATAATCTAATACAGAACAAATATTGGAATCACTCTGAACATAATAAGCAGATAACCATAATAACATAATAAACGATAAACTCAATACTAATCTTGCCATCGCGCCCAATACCAAACCTAGATTGAAAAAAAAAGAACANTCTGATCAATTACAATAAAAATGTTTTTCCTCTGGTTGAAATACGTCAGAACGAGCATAAAAACAGTTTTTAGGAAAAGTTTTAGTGGGGAAAGGAGAACTTATGGAAAACAACTTCATTCATCTATCGAAATTTATTTATAGAAAAACAGCTTAGTTTTTCATTTTCAATAAATATAAGAAAAACATTGTTTTAGACGGGAATATTTTAAAGTTAAGTCCATTTTAACCACTAAATCCGAAGATGCGTAAAAAACTCTCGTATAATACATAGTAGAGGTATAACATAATGCAGATATCGAACAGGACTGCAGCCTAGCGAATCAGCACGATACACTCACTGTTCTACTACTCCTAACTAAGTGAACTTGTTGACTATCATCGAAAAATGATGGTAATTGTGTGTTCGTGATTTCTGCTCAATATATTATTTCGTATTCTTCATCAGAAATTTTCATTTAACGATCCATATATCAGAAAACTTCAGCTTTGTGTAACTTTCACAGATCATCATAGGACTTATTATAGTGCGATCATAGTTTCTGCCATTTCAGCCTTTAGGAGAGAAGTATGACTCGCAAGACTCTTTTTTATGAAAAGTTTTGGTGAGAAAAGTAGAACTATCTTATAAAAAATAAGTTGACTCATCTATTGTAATTTGTTTATAGAAAAACGGCTCAATTTTTCATTTTCAGTAAATAAAAGAAAAAGAATTAAATACAAGTGTTTCCGCAAAATCCTCTTTCTCCCAGCGGTAAGTACTTTGAACCAGACGACGAAAAAAGAAATTACTGAGAGTTTTTTTTGTTAAAAAGCAACAGCAAGGTTTTACAAAAAATAGGGTATTCTTAAAGGGCGTAAAATGAAAACGACCTTTGCTGTTTTCTGAAAATTTTATTGCAAATATTTTTCTCTTTATTGTCCGAACTTGTTCTGTCAAAATTAAACATTTTGACAAAAACAAGGTCATATTCAGAATCAGGATTAAAAACTGGGTCGAATGACATGGGTCTCAGGGTTTTGGGAATATTTGAAGTTTGAGTGAAAAGCTCTTTCATCTGTTTCGATGAAAGAGTTTTGATTCTAAAGAAAAGAATAGGCAATAGAGCGTTTTGAGAATAGCTGAGTTCCAACATTTTTTTTTCTGCTCTTGTCAAATTTTTACCTAAACTTTCAAGCAGAATTCTATATACGCCTTGTATGACGAAAATCATAAAGAGAACCTGATGAAATAATTTTACTATTAAAGTAAAGAAAATGCAAAGAGGAAAACTACATAAAAAGACGAATTACCTCAGCTGCTTTGAGTTTGAATAAAAAGGTAATTTGTTGATTATCTGATGGTCTATCAGAGAATTGAATAGTACTGAGACGTTTATTAAATGACTGACGGATTGCGGACCATTGAATTCGCTCTTCAGCAATTTTCCATTGCATCAATTGCTGCTTAATGACACGAATACAATCAGCCACTCTGATATCATTACGAGTATTAGTTCTATCTAATAAATGATGTACAATATCATAATCAAATATAACTCTAATGTTTTCTTCATTTAAAACTACAATTTCGGATTTTTGAGCAAATAGAGATTCGAAAGAATTTGCAGTATTATTTAGTGTTGGATAAATATTTGTCATTGTTTTAACATTAGTTGTAAGATCTCCATCTACCAATTGTGGATACAATTCCGTAGATGGTAAAATATTATTACTAATAGCACTTTCAGTGTCTAGTATAGGATACAGTTGTGTATTATCGATATCAGTATTAAAAATATGAATGTCACTGGATAAATCAACAATAATTTGTGGATTTTGTAAACGTTCTACTTTAATATCGATAATTTTTGTAGACCATAAATCAGAATCTCGTTTTCTCATCTTTTTAAGTTTTTTGTTATGATTAGATCGTAATGTATTTAGTTGACTTTTAACCTCATTCACCATGTCGGATTCGGTAAAAATCAAGTTAGATTTAGTTGCAATCGTTTTCTTGATGTTTTCTTGAATGTTTTCTTGATGTTTTCTTGAAAAACTGGCACACTCTGCTTGAACAAGTAATTTGCACTCATCCAATCTAGTCGCTAAGAGTCGGTTCTGTAAATCGAAAACCACTAAATAAAGAGCTACAAAGTTTAATATCGTTAGTATCAAATCGTTTTAAGGCAGAGTCGCCGTGTTAGAGAATGTGTTTGTATGTAAATTTCTCTAACGAGGAAAGGTTCCCAACTGTCAACTCACTTTTGAGCTCTAAGCTAGTGGTCAATAGGTAATCAAACATGCTGAATCCGACTATGATAAGCATTTGGGCTGCTAGGCCTCCGGAGACCCGGTTTTAGTTGGTAGTACGTTAGTTTGCCGCTGCTGGAACAGGTATGACGACGTTCTTTGGTTCAAAAAGATCTCTTTTGACCAACTCGCCCATTCTACCTTTTGGTTTTTGCAAGCCTAGGTACATCGGGCCCACCAACTGGCCGTCAAGAGAAATGGTTGGCTGCAGTGTATAACTATGGGTTGTGGCATTTTTCGATCGAACACTACCGAACACTTTCTTTTCACCTTCCGTTGTCAGAGTGCGTTTCGAGTACAGCTCTTTTTCTACACTTATCTGATCCGTATTCAGTATCTGCAACGGACTGTAATGAGACGAGGACTTGAAAAAGTTGTCACGGAAATCATTTTCCATTCTCAGAATTTCGCTGGTGTTTTCGATTTCGTGGCGAGTGACAACATTCGTTATTCTGCGCGATACAACGCGACTTTGAAGTTATAGAGCAAATAGTGCGAAGCATGGAAATCGTCTAACTGGACTTCTGTAGCTGCTTTCAGTGCCCATCGTTGGAGATCGACGTCATGCAGAGACAATGCTAGTTCACGAGCGTCCAGAAACTTTTGAAAAACAATTGCATCCACATCAGAAGATTTCTGTCGCTTCGTTCCGTGTTGTTCCAAATACCGGCGAAATCGACTAACATACGCTTTATCGGGAAGCGATTTGTATCTGTTGTGAACAGTATTCCATGATCGACGTCGCTTTCCGTTTTGGTCCTTCGCGTCAGCGAACTCGACTACCTCTTGCATGAATTGTATTGAATAGTTAATAGTTAGTCAAATGACGTGGCTCTTTCTCGCTTGTACTTGCTCCTCCATGAGCCTCTTCCTCCGATTCACCCTCCTCTTCTTCGCTGCCACTCGAATAATCCAAAGGGTCATCATCCACGTCCAGCGTGGTTTCCTCTGTATAGTGACATGCTGTGGCATCTTTGACAGATTTGGTCGTTTCAAATAAACCATCTGCCACTTCGCACTCTTTTTGAGACGTTGGAGATGACGAAGCCAAACCCAGATTGTTACGGACTAAATCGCACAAGCGATTGATTATATTCGAAACGTTCATCTGTGAGGCTGTCTTTAACGAAGGAAAAGAGAGGACAGGATAAAAAAAGAGAAAGCACAGAACTAACTACGTGGCAGAAGAGGAAGGAAGAAAGCAGCTGCGTACGTGGTCAGGAGAAGACGAGAGAAGAAAGGAGAAGAGGCTCTTATGCATGAAATGCATAATATTCCCACAAAGATGAAAAACCGACAACTGACTTGCATACAAAACAAAAAAAAGAGGAGAGAGAGGTGTGCAGAGTATTGTGAAGCGGGATTGCATAGCTGTGTCTGGTAGTGATGTCAGATCCCACCCCGTGTTAAGAATGAATGTGGTGAGAGAAGGAAAGATGGAAGGTCCTCTCCTAGCAATCATGATGACTCCAGTTAAAAGACGTAAAGAACGTAAAGCAGATACACCGTTTTTTCGAAAGGTCGTGGACGGAGTCAAGGTTTAGCTGAATTATGTAAAGA